GAAAAGAGGTGGGATCACAGGCTGAGGCCAGCAGGACCCCAGACAGGGAGGGGCTGAGAAGGTTCTTATAGGTATTGCATTTCACCGGATCCAGTGCTCCAGGCAAACCCCCGGAATGTGCCAAACTGTACTCTGGGATTGGCAGGGCGCTCCTGTCTTTTGACGCCCTTTCCAAAAGAAGGCAGTCTGACTCTGAGGGGACATGCACTTCTCTGTTCAGATAGGTGTGATACTTTCCAACTCCCTGTGTGCAAACCATGGGCATTTCATGATCTCAGAAACACAGAAAATGAAAACAAAAAACCAAAAAACCAACAAGGCATATTCCAAATATGGGACAGAGGAAAACAAAAAATGAGACCCAGAGCCTTTTACATCAGTTAAAGTGATGAGCTGTTGAAATAGGCCCTACCAAGTAGAATAAAATAGTTTAGACAGCTTTAGCAGACTTATATGTTTTAATAAATTTACTCTCTGCAAAAAAGACCTATATTGGGACCAGCAGTTGGTGTAATGGCTATTGCCAGATTCATATACAGTTGACTGTGGTTCAAGTCCCCGACCCGTTGGTTTAAACTCACACCGGGCGTGTGTGCGTGCGTGCCCAAGGTCCCGAGAGGAAAACGGTAGAGAAGGGATTGCGGTGTGGCCATCCTCCCTGGGGGGGTCATTTCTTGCTTTCTATCTCTCTATTTCTGGTGAGCACCCATGCACTATAGCAAAAACCTCTCCCCCCAAAAATAAAAAAAGACCAATATTTACTTCATTGCTTCCAAAATGATGAAAGCAAGTTCTGTTTCAGTATTATCATCTCATCCCTCTGGCAATGACTTGAGCAGTCTCATGCTTCCGTTCTTTGCTCCTGTTAGGTTTGCCTTTCCCCAATTCCTTCTCACATGGACGTTGTACGCCTTTATTTCTGTTGTCACCGACAGCTGGTCCCCTTCTGTGTCTATTGCCTCTTCAGTCCATGGCTCAAGCCCCCCCTTCCTCTTCCAGGAAAACCTCTCTATATTCTCAAACAGCTGAAAAGGATGCCTACGTTCCAATTTGATCTTCTCTGTCCCTTATTAGTAACATTATGAGATTCACAATTCTCTGGGAATTAAACAAAAGCTTTTAGCTTAGATCCAAATGCAAAACGGTGTCAATTTAAGTCGGCCTGTGCTGCCACTACCTTTTAGAGTCAGTTTTTGTAAGCTGGTGAACTTTTTCTCACCCTCACGTAAAACTAATAGGTACTTTAAAATAATGAGCTTATAAATGGCTGTCCCAGTTTGGTAATTTATTGTTGATGAACGGCTTCCTAGCTCATGGTGGTAAATATTTCTCCTCGTGCAATGTGGTTTCCATGCTACGGGCACAGACTCCTCCCTCTGCGGCCCACTGCTGTGTCGTGTGTGCACATCCACAACACCACGAAGGCAAACAGATGGTGCAGTCAGACTCAGACAATTTATTTTATGGAATTCAGACTCAACTTCAACTGATCATTCTAACAAATACGACGCGTTGAACATCAGAGAGAAATCTATGTAAATCACAAGAAGGCAAGCTCACACGGCCTACGGAAGAGAGGGTGAACTCTCATTGGACTGATTCTCGACACCCACCCATGTGTACGTGTGGCAACAGGCGGTTTCAAATAGAGGAAGTGATATGGCACTGTGACCATCTCCCGAGATCATTATTTTTACTTTGGATGAAACACATCATCTAAACAAGAGAACATGTTATAATTCTCAACTAGGAAATATAATTTTAGTGACAAAAGGAAGAACTTGCCTTGGTCAGTCACATCATTCATTACTGAAAGGAAAACTCAATGTCATAAAAAAACCCAAAACACTGTAATAAATAAATAATTTACTCAAAAATAGTTTTGCTGCATGGCACATCACCGCACAGAGTTCTAAAGCTGATTTCATTTTATGTTTTAAAGCTTGGAAAAGATATTTGCCTTTTTTTAGTTTCTTGCTAAGTGATACATGCTCTTTACAAGGAAAACTCTTCTATGCAGGGCTGAATTTAAAATTTAAGTATTTGTCTATTGAGCGCTTGTTCACCTAGAGTGCACAGGTACATTCAGGTAATGAGTGATGGAAAGCGAGCCCAGCCTGCAGGGTGGCCAGGCAGCGCCCTTCCGTCTCTGGCCTCAGGTCACCAGCCGCACCTACACTTTATACCCAGGTGGGGAAGAAGTGTCTAAAGCTAACAGTTTAGGTGTGAAAGTGTGCAAAAATTACTGATACTAATCCACGTGTTTGTCTTTCAATAAGGTGTCCCCTGATGGACTGTAAAATCTTTGGCAACAGCCCCTGAAGGTCTGAAAAGAAGTACACGCTATAGCTATGGTACAGGAGCATGTACACTTGCTGTTAGAATATTTCTATCCAGGGGACCAGCAGATGGCGTAATGGTTACATCGCTGGACTCCCATGAAGTCAACCCTGGTGTGAGTCTCAGACCTGACAGCTTAAAATTCATGCTGGACATATAATTAGCTGTGTGCATGTGTGCCCAAAATTCCAAGAGGAGAATGGAGGGGAGGGGATTGTGGTGTGGCCATCAACCCTGGGGGGTGATTTCTCACTTTCTATCTCTTTCCAGCGAGCGCACATGCCCTCTAGCTATATATATATATAAAATCTAACAAGATTCAACGATTTTGTTTTCTTTTTATAAAGATTTTAGGAAGTTCCCAATCCAATTTATTGCCTTCTTGGCCATCTCTGATTTGACATGAATCCTCCTAAGTTAAGCTCCTTGTTTCCCACCCACCTCTGCATCATGGAAGAGAAGGCACTTGTCTTCCTTCTCCTCATTGGTACATACAGAGCTGCAAGAAGCTACATGAGACCTTTTGTCACTGCGGACTTGCTGTCATGGCAGACATGTCAATACGACACAGTGAGTTCCCCTAAACAGCACTTACTAATCCACGTGTTTGTCTTTCAATAAGGTGTCCCCTGATGGACTGTAAAATCTTTGGCAACAGCCCCTGAAGGTCTGAAAAGAAGTACACGCTATAGCTATGGTACAGGAGCATGTACACTTGCTGTTAGAATATTTCTATCCAGGGGACCAGCAGATGGCGTAATGGTTACATCGCTGGACTCCCATGAAGTCAACCCTGGTGTGAGTCTCAGACCTGACAGCTTAAAATTCATGCTGGACATATAATTAGCTGTGTGCATGTGTGCCCAAAATTCCAAGAGGAGAATGGAGGGGAGGGGATTGTGGTGTGGCCATCAACCCTGGGGGGTGATTTCTCACTTTCTATCTCTTTCCAGCGAGCGCACATGCCCTCTAGCTATATATATATATAAAATCTAACAAGATTCAACGATTTTGTTTTCTTTTTATAAAGATTTTAGGAAGTTCCCAATCCAATTTATTGCCTTCTTGGCCATCTCTGATTTGACATGAATCCTCCTAAGTTAAGCTCCTTGTTTCCCACCCACCTCTGCATCATGGAAGAGAAGGCACTTGTCTTCCTTCTCCTCATTGGTACATACAGAGCTGCAAGAAGCTACATGAGACCTTTTGTCACTGCGGACTTGCTGTCATGGCAGACATGTCAATACGACACAGTGAGTTCCCCTAAACAGCACTTTTATTTTAGGTGGCCCAGTTTTCCAGTTTGTTACAAAACTGATCGGGAAAATAATCTAAAATCAAAGATAAATAAAGTTCTAGCACACCAACACTTGGAAGACTGAAGTCTGGTCCTATCTCTTGCCCTCGTCATGGTGCCCACAAATGGTAACTACTTTGTGAATTGAGAAGCCACTGTCTATATCCTTTTTGAATTGGATTGTTCTCGCAGGGGCCAGCGTGTCTCTAAAAATATTGTAGGCTTTAAAGAACACATCTAGTGTCTGTTGCATGTCCTTAACTTTTTGTTTTTTTAAACAACCCTTTAAAACTTGGAAAACCATCCTTAGTTCAAGGGGCTCCCAGGTTGCCCTGTAAGCACAGCGAACCTACTCTGGATCCTGTTCCGGTGGGCTCTTTGCCAGGAGAGCACGGGCAGGGACCAAGTGCAGGTAGTTCCAGGCTTGGAATCCTAGTTTGGGGATTTTGTTTAGAGTGAGGTAGGTCCTTGCAGCAGGAGTCCTTAGGCGTGTCTGAAAGCAGAACTCCTCTGTGTGTGTCTCTATTTTGTCCCTTGAACTGTAAAGAGCTGGACCAAACTGTCTTCTTTACTTAAAAAGTGGCTACTGAGTAGGAAGTCTTAGTGAAGGCCTATTTCAACCTACGCCTATGCTGGCTTATCCTTGCCTTAATCTGAAAAGCAAGACTGCCCACTCGAGGTATTTAAAAATGATCAGTTTACAGGTTAGGGCTTCACTACCTCCATTCTCTACAGCAGAATGGCTACAATGTAGGGCCAGCTCTGTAAGCAGCCAAATCCCACATGGCCAACTTCATGGTTTGAGTCCTAGACCTGGTGGCTTGAAAAACATGCTAGGCATGTGTGTGTGCATGCCCCAAATCCCAAAAGGTGGAAGGAATGAGGAAGGGATTGCAGTGACCATTCTCCAGAGAGTGCACATTTTGTTGCCCCTGCCTGTTTCTCTCTGGCAAGTGCACAAGCTCCCTAGCGAAACAAACAACAACAACAGAGAAAACAAACAGAAAAGCTACAATGTAAACGTACTTCTCTTCACCTCTGATGCCACTCACTGTCTAGAGGGCAAATGCCTCCACGAAACCAAGGAGGCACTCACTAGCTCACTCTGCTTCTGGAGTATGGCTAACATGGCTCCTGTGTGGCTGGATGGAGGACTGGAGGCCTGCATTTAGAAAGCTGGTTCTCTTGAGTTCCCAAGGACATTCCCAACCTCTCTGGAGCAAGACTGCTCACATTCGCTGCTGAAATACCACACAGCATCTCCAACCCTCTGGGTATTTAAGAGGCAAATATCCTACCAATAGTTTTTCATTGCCAGAATATTCAGTTCGAAGAGAAGCAGAACACTTTCAGAAATCTGTAATCTTTTAAGTCATCAATATGCAGTAAGGATGTCATGTTATTAAGTAATCAACAAGATAGACTCCCAACTTTTTTCCCCCAAGTTAATAGGGCTGCGGAATATAAGTTTTTTCTCTAATCAGTGATTTTTAAAGTTAGCAGCTAATGGTTCTCAAAAAATAGCATTTGCTACCAACTCCATGTATTTCATTGTTCTGGAGTTAGGAAATAGCACAGGGTGCACACGCACTTACGCAAAAAGAACATTACCTGAAAACTATGGGAATTCCCCAAACTGTGAAAGTAAATGAGCAGGCGAGAAACAATCCCTGTCACACAAGCCAATCCAGTTGTCCTTTTCAAGTTTTTGCTTGAAATGTCAGATTTGTTTCCTTCAGAATGTGAGTTCATTTCTTCTCTTACATTCAGACTCTTCCCTTCGTCTAGATTTACAATGGCATTGCCCACTATGGCCTGAGCTACCGCAGTACGAGAGAGAACTTCACAGGCTAGCATGGGATCTCCCAAAAACTGCTGAGGTAGCTTCTAATTAGGAGGGGACACCACCTTTGAGGTGGACAAAACTGGAGCAGAATAAGCAAGAACTTTCTCCTAAAAATCCTCAAGTGCTCAGGGGGGGCACCAGTTCCAGTTTTAACTGGTCACTTGGGCTGGTTGGTTAAGACAGCCAGATCCCACATAACGGACTGGACTGTTTGAGTTTGGACCTGGTGGCTTAAAAACACTCTGGGTGCCTGTGTGTGCATGCCCAAGATCCCAGACGAGGGAAGAGATGGAGAAGGGACTGCACTGTTACCATGGCCCCATGGGGAGCAGGTGCTTTCTTACTCTCCCCCTCTCTCTGCTGAGTACACGTACCCACCAGCCAAAACATAAAACAGTGAAATATTAGAATTTTCCAATTCTAAACAAAGTGTTCTAAGGCCACTGATAGTTAGAATAAAGAGACTAATAGCCTGTGGTCAGGGGAAAAAACAACAGCAATGGGGATTTTTCTAAATCAAATTAAATGGAACAGTCAATTTTGGAGTGTGTGTTTTTAAAAGAACGCTGCAGGCTCTCATTCGTCTCATGGGCATTTTTTTTTTTACCACACTTTCACAAAGCTCTAGTCAATATTTCTCATTTTCGGTGTCTCTTCATTACCGATTTTAAGTATTTCTCTAGTTTGGATAGAAACGGCTTTGAATTTTTAAACCTGTAAAGAAAACATGAACAGTGACAGACCTGAACAATAAACAAAATTTAAACATCACCCTCTTTAGGTTAGAATTTTCAAGCTAGAGGGGAAAAAAATACAGTTTCAGTTAATAATGTTTTTTGGTTCTGTAAAAGTACCACTCTTCAGTCCTACCTCTGCTGGACAGAAGCATCTTTTCCACTCCTCTCCAATATCAAAGTGCATTTGCTTAAAATTTAATATACCTTAAGGAAACCCCTAAAACCTCAGCAATTTTTGGCAGATATGCTAGGCAGCAAAAATCCAGTGGATTTCCCTTTCCTTCCTCCTCACTTTAAAGCTGTACTCAAAATGGCTAAATGCAATACCAGTAAGACAATGGGGCTTACAAACAATAGATTCTGTTTTTGTTTTAAGAACACAAAGGAAAACAAAATAAAACCAAACTATAGGAGAATACAGAGGTGAAACCCTGAGGCAAAAAAATGGCTTTTCCTTGAGAAAGTCTTCCTGGAGCTGGCTAAGTCTGGTTCATAAGGTTCCGGAGGCCTTCTGGGACGGGAGGCCTTCCTCCATCCACAGCACCGCGGCCGAGCTGGTCCGGGCCGTGCGCCGGTGAATGCGCCGCAGCCGCAGCAGGTAGAGGAGGATGGACAGCAGGACCACCAGGAAGCAGCCAGAGAACAGGTAGTGGTTGTAGACAAAGGAGACGCCCCTCCAGTGCGCGTGACTGGCCCGGAACACCTCCTGCTGGATGTCTCTGCCCACCGGAGGCAAAACGGAAACATAAGACAGGTAAGAGAGGGAGTGGGAGGGAGAGGGTCTGGGGTGAGCCCCAGCTCTGCCGCAAGGGCTGCTAACCCCCACTCAGACATTCCTTTCCTCTGGAACTAGGATGGCGTGCCCAACGCCGCGAGCTCGGTTAACACAGAACATGTGGGAATGTTCCTAGGTCTGTAGCCGTCACCATCATTATAACTTGGGTGATAAAACCCAAAGAAATTCAGGACTGTGAGGGTTTCACTCATGCTTGGAAGGAATGTGGCGCTGGACTACATGTCTGGGATCAGTAACGCCCATTACTCACAATTTCTGCAGCCAAAAGTACTGCTGGAAAATGCCCGATTAAATGAGGGGAAAAGCCCCAATCTCTCGTGTATCAGTTAACTGGGGTTCTTAACCTGGGATCGTCTGACATTTGAGTCTGCAAACTTGAATGGGGGAACACATGCACTTTTATGTTCCTTCTATTATGAATGCAGACAACAAGCTACTGAAGGATTTGCGGGACCTGGGACACTGTTATTAACGAAAATCACATTACAGTGTTGTCATAGTGTTCATGACTCAAAGATGCCTCAAAATATTGCTGACACTCAACACTACCTTGAAATTATAGAAATGACTAGTTCTGCTGCCAGATTTTGTTATTTAATATGTTAATACAGAAGAACATATCTCTTGTCATAAATTTGTTTTCTGTTAATACTTTAATTAATGTATTTCAATACAATTTTTTCCTATAATCCTATATGTTTATATTATGCATTAAAAAACAGTATTTCGAGAAGAGGCCCAAAGCCTAAAGGTTATGAAACCCTGAATGAAACCTCTTACAGCTGAAACTGACAGCTGACAGTAGCTGAACACGGGGCAGCAGCACGGAAGTGCCGTGTGTTATGGGCCAGGGAGGGTGGGAGGGAGGAGGCCCCTGTGGGGAATTGGGAAAGACCAAAGTTAAACGTCACAGACTGCAGTTCTGCCCACAGCCAGCCCCAACAACAATACCTTCCAGCACCCACAAACCATAGTTACCGTGAGGCACTGTAACTACAGGGAAGCCTCCTTTTCTATTCACATTACTGAATTCACAGCCCTACCTTAAGGGTAGAAAACGGGTCCTATAAAGGATCGCTCCCAGGGTCCACTGAACCTCCTTGTCATACACTTGCAAGGCAGTCTTTAAGTTTTTATAGTTGACAGGAAACGAAAAGCCCCGATGGAATACCTCGAACATCCAGGCAGATTTGAAGCACTGATACCTGCAAATACCAAGGTGGACACCATGTCAGGGTCTTGTTGAAACAGTACCAGGCCCAGAGACAGTGCACGGGCGTCCTTAGGCCAGCTCCCCAGGAGCCAGACCACTGTGTTTCAAGCTGAGTTCCCTGGTTCAGGTCCCTCCTCCCACACACAAAGCAGTTCACCTGTTAACGGCAGTTAGTTCATGAAACTTGATCTCAAAATAATTAAATAATTACCATGACAGGATTTATCCTCCTCTCAGACATTCCATCATTTATTCACTGAATAAACACTGAGCAGGTTTTAACCTCTTTGGACCTCAGTTTCATTATAAAATGAGAACAAAGCTCACAGGTCTTTTGAGCTCTTATATTCTACGGTTCTAAATATTTATCAGAAGCTTGTTTTCTGTGAAGTACTGTGCTAAGCAAGTAGTAAGATACAAGATACAGTCACTGCACTTCAGTGACTATAATGGGGGGATTTTAGAAAAACAATGAATAACTGTAAAACAAAGCAGAATATGACCAATGAGTTAGAGAAGTATGAGTGCTCTGGAAACTCAAAGAGGAGGATGGAGTCCACTGAGGGGAAAGAGGAAGACTAGAAAGGGGCAGCAACTGACTCAACTTTGATGTTTGGGCAGGACTGGAACAAGCAGTCATGAACAGGGGAATTTAATGAGGAAGAAAGAGTAATACTGAAAAAAAAATACATATATATATATATGATATACATATACAGATATAAATAGAAAGATGGTATGTCTGGGCACAAGTATACGTCCCATTTGAAAGGAGCCAAGAGTGGATGACAAGGAGCAGTGGTTGAGGAGGAGAGAAAGGTGGATTGGGTCCTGAGGGCAGCAAGCCAGTGGACCCAATACTGAATGAATGGTGTCTTACCACACCTGGCCCTTGGCTGGCCACTACTTACTTAAGCCGATGGAGGTCAGCATGAGAGGCGTACAGTCCTCTGTCAAAGCGTTCCCGCAAGATCGACCACTTTGTTGCACAATAATCCTGAAGGAATTTCACCAAAAGAAATCATTAATAAATGCTTATTAAAACATTCTTTTTTTTTTTTGCCAAAGGGCACATGTGCTCACTAGAGAGACAGAGAGAAAGCAAGAATGTACCCCCATCCCCTGTGTGGCATGGTCATGTCACAATCCCTTCCCCTCAGTTTCTCCCTCCTCAGGGTTTTGGGTACACATGTTACTCATGCAGCCAGGTTTGGAACTTGAACTGCAGGCAGCCATGTGGGATCCGGCAGCCTTAACCACAAGGTTATAGGCTGGCCCCAAAACCTTTTTCATTTTAAAAATAGTTTACCGAATCCACATTCATAACAAGCATATCCTTCCAATTAGGAAACACAGAAGTTTAACTTAGAACGTGTGTATAATTAACACAATACAAACACCCATTGGATACTTACTGACTGGCAAATACAATGCTTGTTCTGATCTTAAACTCTGCCGAAGGTATTGTTAAAGAGCATTTCTCTGCTCATAACCCACCTCTTCAAAATTGCTTAGTTCTCTCTTCACTCTGCATGCTTTTATAGGCATAAGCTTTTGGAAAGGTGAAGTAGTATTTTAGCGAGTGCAAACTAAGTACCTATGTCTGGCAGATGCAGTGCAAACCACTGGGAAAACAATGGTGCTTACAAAAGGCTGTGTTCTTTTTTTAAAGTCATGACAGAAAGCTTATTTGTATGTGCACAGAGAGAAAAAGAGAGAGAGAGCGAGCCTTGACAGCGTCTCATCACACCACAATCCTTTCCCTAGCTCTCTAGCTCATCAGAATCTCGGGTGTGCCCAGTGTGTTTTGGGTTGACAGGACAGGGGATTCAAACCTGCTATCAGCCATGTGGCTTACAGCACTGCAGTTCAGTAGCCAGCAATGATCACCAAGTTGGGCCAACGTGCTCTTTAAGAAAAGGGAGAGGTACACCCTTTTCCTGAAGTTATCTGTAATAATATGAACAGCTAACACTTACTGAGCTTTGTGTGTTTCTTCTGAATGTAGTATTTAACCCTCAACATGGCCACTGTCCTAATCTACTTAAAGGATGAAGAAACTGATGATGACAGGTGGTGAAACTTGCCTGGGTGTATGATAAGGGACACAGGACAGAGTGCTGTGCCTGGCAAGGGTCAGCAGAGTCATCTCGGGAAAAGGAACCGCTGTGAATGAGGACACAGAGGAGCAGAATGGAGTGGAGGGCAACGATCGCTATCTGTTATGATTACAGACTAACACGCTAGTGGGGGCTGAGGGTACAGAGCTGGGGCTGACATGCTAAGGTACATGGGGAATCCATCCCAGAAGCAAAAAGAAGCCCTAGACTGTATGTGAACTTCAGACAGAATACTCTGGGAATACTCAGTGTGGAGAGAAGGATGGAGGCTCCTGCAATAGCGCCGGGACAGAGGATGGCTGAGGACAGTGGTGTAGGACAGAAGGAAGGATGGGTCTGAGAAATACTCAGGACGTAAAACAGCACGCATGGTGGCTGATTACTGGAGGTGTACTGGGAGTGGTGGCTGAGAGAAGGAGGAAGTCCACAGCTCGTAGGTGTTGGGGAGTGGGACTGGCTGAGTGGTGACATCATTAACCAAGCTGGCACCATGGGAACAGAAGGAGGAGAAAATGGTGGGTCTGTCTGAAATCTGGCAGGCAGCCGGGCAGGGTCCGGGCTGGAGACTCTTCCCGAGAGACGGCAGCAAATCACGGGCATGGATGAGACGACCTAAAAACTTCAAGATGAGCGGGTCAACGTGGAATCTGAGCTCACTCGGGTTTAAGGGAGTTAAAGAGCCCGGGGAGACACTGTCAGCAAGGCAGAAACAGGAGAACACAGGCACTCCTGGCAGCTAAGGGCGAGGGAGGCTGGCAGTGCGGTGAGGTGCAGAGGCACAGAACAGTGACATAAAGGACGGCGATGTGCAGGTCACGGTGACCAGAGCAGTGAATGGAATGCTGGCCAGAAGCTGGCTTCCAGGGGCTTTCTTCCTTCCGCAGTGACTACTTTTCCACCTTAGCCATGACCTGTCACTGTGTACACCGTTCTCCCAAAAGCATGCAGGGGCGGCTGGTTCCCCTGAAGGTTACCTTGGCAGCTTTTGTGAATTTAGCAGCATTGTAGTCTCCCCCCATTCGTAACACGTCCTCGGTGCAATAGTAGAATTCGGAGAAGCCATAGAATTCACTGTTCTGGAAGTGAATTGGGGGCTGGTAGACCCCATTGAGGGAAGTCTGTGTCTCGTTCGTTTTATTCATGAAAGGTTGGATAGTCTCTCGACACAGGTCAAAGTCTCCAGTACCCCGTAGGTACATGGTCTGTCCATTTTGCTGGATTTCATCTCTAATGTCGAGGGGTAGGCATGGATCCAGGTACGGAGCTTCGGGAGTCAGCCCAGTCTGTTTACCCAGGAACCTATGGCACAAGGAGAAACTTAATCATGAGACCTATAGGAAACTAGGTTTCAGAAATGAGGCTGCAAGCCAGTGTTTCTCAAAATACGCTCTGAGGGACACGAGTCCTGGAGGACCAGGTCTATGGGATACACCAAAGTGTTCTGGGATAATTGCATTAGGAAAACGCACACTCGAGCCCTTTTAGGAGACTAGGGATAGTCACTGGGTGCAGCGACCCGGGAACAGAGCCCAGTTAACCAACCTGTCCAATGACCCAATGTGACTATTCCCAGCAACATGGCCTGATGCTCCCGGCTTCTGAGGGTCCTCTTTTGCCACTAGAGCTTGTGATTTTAATTTACATAGATTGAAATGTGACTAAAAGAGAAGGAATTGGTCCTAAGAAAACCAGGTTAGATGATTTAGAAAACATGAAGACAGCTGCTAGGAAACTGTTGTTGAACCAGGGATGGATAAGCTAAAACAACTGATAAAAACTGGGAAAAGTCAGAAGGAAAGATTTGGTACCACACTGTTTCCCAAATGTCTAGAAGTCCTTGGGTTCTTTAAAGAAAGGCAGACAGACATCTAGAGGATACTGTGTTGCCTCAGAAATGGTGGTTCTAGTCCAAGAACAGACTTTAGTTCAGAGCGAATGAATACAGAGAGTAAAACACATGTAAGGTTTGAGCATATTTTTAGAACTCTGTTTCAACTTATTTAATTCATCAACTCTTCATCCCAGCTGCTGTAGACAGTTATACCACAGGTCCTGAGAAGTCCTATAGAAAAGAAATGCTTAGCTCTATGGAACAGTTTTTCCACTCGAAGTTGTTTTACCAAAACAAACAAAGAAATAAAACACAGTCATTAATAGGATAGTTTATTATATATAACCCCAGATTCAGATTTTTAAAATTCATCCAAATAGCTTTTCTATTCTTACGGAGTACTTTCAAATCAAGAATTGATATGTATTTAAACTTAGAAAATAAATTTAAAGTAATAGAGTGCTGCTTTTGTTTTATATTTTCTATACCAAAATTCTATATAAACCCCCCCCCTTTTTTTTTTTTTTTTGTAGTTTTGCTATAGGGCCAGAGAGAGACAGACAGAAAGAGAGAAAGTGAGAAGTCATTTCCTAGGGGAATGACCATGCCGCAATCCCTTTTCTGCCATTCTCCTTTAGAGATTTTGGGCTTGCATGCACACACGCCAGGCCTGTTTTTTCAAGCTGCAGACTGCAGGACTTGGTCCGCACAATCAGCCATGTGGGATCCACTGCCTTAACCACCATGCTGCCAGCCAGGCCCTATAAACTCTTTTCTGGAAGTTTCACTACTAAAATGTTTAAATCACTAACTCTGACTTCTACATCTAACTTCTAGATCATCTCTTTCTCTTGAATATCTCCTTTTGCTACGGTTCTCATCTACTAAGCAGCTGCAGGCAGGTTATCCAAAGTGTCCTGAAACACTACTTCAACCTTCTCAGCTAGGGTAAGAGGACATGCAACTGAAGGCCTCTGGGACATCAGCCATGCCCTAGGTGCCCACTTCACAAGGACTGTGTAGTCACGGACAGCATTACCCAGGGCTTAAAACTATCCTGTACCACAGGGGTCCCCAACCCTTGGGCCACGGACCATAGTGGACTGTGGCTTGTTAGGAACTGGACTACACAGCAGGAGGTGAGCAGCAGATGAGCGTGCGACGCTTCATCAGTATTTACAGCCGCTCCCCATCACTCACGTTACCCCGAGCTCTGCCTCCTATCAGATCAGTGGCAGCATTAGATTCTCATAGGAGCCCCCAGATGGGACTGTCTCGCTGCAGGAGAATAAGTTCAGGGCTCCGGCTAATTTTGCATGATGTTGAGCGCATTGTATAATTATTTCATTATATATTACACTGTAATAGTAACAGAAATCCAGTGCACAACAAATGTAACACTTTTGAATCATCCTGAATCACTTCTACCCTATAGAACTGTCCATCCACGAGACTGGTCCCTTGTGCCAAAAAGGTTGGGGACTGCTGCTATACCCCACTGGAGAAATGTCTAACCCATTAGGTAAGAGATAGGTCTGAGAGAAAGAGAGAGCTTCTGTCGAAGCCCAGTGGGAGAGGGCTGGCAGCAGGACCGGGAAGTCCTCTCAGGCCTGCCTCCCCTCAGTGGTGGGGAATAAAGAGTGGGGACACACTTGGGTTGACCAGGTTCTCCCTGCTTTGCTCGGATCTGCTTTTATGAGGAGGGGCGAGGTTTGCTAGTGGCTGCTAAGCAGTGCAAGGTGCTTTACCTGTTCTTTTGAAGCGTATTGGCGAATATCCTGTCTTCATATCTCTGTCGGGCAGCATTGCCACCAAACCCAAGGAACGTGGCTACGTAGACTCGGTACACGTGCTCGGTGCGGTGGACATCACATCCCAAGTTAAACTCAGCTAATAGGTTTTTAGCTATTTCCTCCTGCAGACATGAGGATGAGAAATTTTAATATTTTCAGCAACTTTAGCCTCCTGCTATATACAAGGGTCTAAAAAGAGTCTCATCTAAGAGGGGCAAAATTTTCTGCTTCTGTATTTCCTAAGGATCCCTCTAAGCATCCTTCATAATTCAATGATAATTCTGACAGGAAATTTCATTTGCCCTGCACATTTGTATTCTTGCTGCAACTTTTCAACAAAGGAAGTAGTAATACAATATATTGAGTTGTTGGGAAAGTCCTGACGCATCGTTGCATTGAAAAATGAAGAAAAATACATCACGACTTTAAAGATGACCTAACAGTCATACCCTCTGGCCAAGTAAATCTATTTATGAAATCTTAAGCTACAGGCATAAACTTTACACAGAAAAGTCTCTACGCACAAAGAAGTACTTTGGAATTCTTTGATAGAAAAAACTGGGCATTCTCTAAATATTCAACACCAAAGGAAGGTTAAGTTAATTACAGTAATCAACAACTTCTAGAGGAGTAAGCTCAGGCACTGTTAAGTAGAGGACACAAAATCATATAAAAAATAAAGAGAAATTCATCAAAATGCTAACAATTTTTTTTAGATGATGAGTCCACAGGAAAATTTTATATATATATAGCATGTGTGTGTGTATGTGTGTGTGTAAATGAATATGTGTGGATACTTTTTTTTTTTACTTTATACTGGAAGTGGAAGATAGGATTTTTACAAAGAGTATTGCAGTTTCTAGAGGTATGTCTAGAATGGGAATTAGACAACACAGATTGTAATACTTGCATTTACAAAGTATTTTTCCAAGGAGCTTCATAAAGACTTAGATAACATTTACTGAGCACAGGCTAGGTGATGGCCATGAATTAGATATATTAAATACATGATCTCATTTAAACCTTCTGCTGACCCTATGTTGTAGGTACTTGCACTCACACTTACAGATGAAGAAAGAGGCTCAGGAAGTTACATGACTTGTCTAAGGTTAGACAACTAGTGGGGAACGGGTGATGATGCAGCCTAAGTTGGCCCAGCTCCAAGTCTCACTTCCATCTACCACACTCTGCTGTGTTCCTACCTTCTAGGGGAAAATGTAGGCAATCAGGTTTGGGTGTTAATTTATTACTGAACAGAAACAAGTAATAAGGCCATGTAGTGACTCAGAATACCTCTGGATATCATTCTGTGGTCTACACAGGGTTGGCTACCTACTGAGAAACTTATAGGCAGCTCCTGAGAGCACTGAAGTGGATGAAGAAGGGAGATTAACCATAACCTCAAAAATGCTGCACAGTGGATACAAACCTCAACCTTTCCCAGCAAAGTTCAAAAGCTGTCTGAGCCATTAAAAACAAAAAAAGGATTTCCCCCAATTATAACTTTAAAAATATACTATTATATTGTTTTACAAATGCTGTTGAGAAAAGTGATTAGAGAGAAAATATAAACAAAGATTCAAGCATGCGACTGACATAGATACCAAAGAAAAACTCTACGTTTGGAAAACAAACCAGCTGATTTCAATGAACAAACACAAAGGGCTTAGTTGAGATCTGCCTTGTTCCTCCTGCCGCCTTTCTCCTGGGTTGAGAAGGTGGTACCTCAGCAAGCAGAGGAAGGATGTGTTCAGACTCAGAAAACAAAACAAAAACGGATGGAGACATGTTAAATGAAAACCAAACAAACGGAAGGAAATTTGTACAGATAATAACCTGCTGTGAGGTGGCAAAGCTTACAGTTTTGGGGACTTCATATGCTATCTGAGTCGACACGCCTCCCATATCCAGAATACCCGCTGTTCTTTTACGGATAATGGCTTCACTGCTTTCACTACCAGGAATGTTCACTTCCACGACAGCCTCATCATCTGGAAAGAACAAGAAATGTTCACTGGCGGCCAGTGGATAGTGTGGTGGTTGGGGCGCTGGACTCCCACATGGCCAACCATGGTCTGTGTCCCGGGCCTGGTAACTTGCTTTTCCACTTTCTCTTTTTCTCTGGTGAGCACATGTCCTATGATGAACTTTAAAATAGTAATAGTAATAAATAAATAAATAATTAAAAAAAAAAAAAGTGGTCCTTAGAACAGGACAAATGTGAAAAATGGGATCTTTTGTTGGGTCATTTGTTCTCCTGGTACATTTAGACTTATTTAGGCAAACCCGGAGTACTCTCAACTAAAATCAATCTGGATTGTGTTAATACACAGCAGTGCCTCTTGCTCTACTCCTATGCACTTAAGTGTCACAAAACTTCACTCCTTTTTCAGCCTTTAGATTAAACAAAAAGACCCGCGATACCTGGCTACACACATTAGTGGAAAGCATGACACTCACCGTCTTCAATATGCTCAAATCGTCCAAGGACAAAATTAATGCCAATCCAAGCATATACACCTACAGACGTTTCACAGGGTGGAAATAAGAAAAGTGAAAGTTTTAAAACATTTTGTATAATTCCTATTAATGCAGTCTGTGCAAACATCTTATTTATTTTACTCCCTGACAACCTGTGAAAACATAATCTGGAATAACACATTTCTACTTATGTTTTCAGCCTTTTCTAATGGTTTGCCAAGAACTCCCAATTTCAACATTTACAGTTTTGTATCATTTACATAGGTTAAAAATAGAATTCTCCAGTTGCTAATTTTCCTTTGAAATGTATGAGTTGTTTTGAAATACTGGTGTTTTTATTTTCTATGAAGTTCTTTTTAAAAAATAAAATCTATAATTGCAATTTTGCAACTTTTTCCCTTTTTTAAGGTTTTTATCATAGGGTTTGTCTGGAGAGGAGAGAGACAGTGGGAAGGAAAGTGAGAAACCCTTCCCCAGCCCCCATGGCCATAGCTGCAATTCCCTCTTCTCCATTTTCCTCCTGGGATTCTGGGCACTCTTTATAGAGAGGCAACAGCCCATGGACCCTCTTCCTGCCCCAACCCTATTCTTTGCTACAAGACTGATCTACACAACAAAGTCCAAACTCCTCAGCCTGACAATTCAAGATTCATTCAACTTTCGTTTTTTCCCTTTCTTAGATTTTTGCCATAGGACACATGTGTTAGCCAGAGAGAGAGACAGAGAGGAGATGGGGGAAATCACTCCCCAGGAGGAATGGCCACGTGGCAATCACTTCTCTCAGGATTTGGGGCTTGCACACAGGGGCTCCCAGTGTGCTTTTCAAGCTGCCAGGTCTAAGACTGGAACTGTGGAGATGGCCATGTGGAATCCGGAGCCTTAAACACCACACCATCCACTGCCCTACCCAAGTTTTAGCATTACACCATCTTTCCAGACAGCCATAACCATCAAACTACCACATTTCTGTTCCTTTTCCACATGCATCCTTTTTGACCTGTACTGACTGAGGTAACTTCTGTTTAGAACGAGCTTCCTGTGCCTCCTTCAGAGCTCTAGCCTTACTGTGCCCCCCCGCCCCTCGTATGTGCTACTTAGAACTATCCCTGTCGCTTTCTCCTTTGCTGAAAAAAAAAAAAAAAAAAAAAAAAGCCTCCCTCCTTTGTACTTCCACAATAAGTTTTCCTTATTTCCCTTCTGGCAACGAAACTACCTGGTATAATACCTAATTCTGCATCCACAAGCAGCTCAATGGCAATATCTGAATTTCACCCCATTTTCTACTCTCTACAATGCCTTTCACATAGAAAGTATTTGCTAAAATGACATGACTTCGAAATAAATATTTTTGGTCTCTATTTCTAGCAAGCTCTTTCCTCGGTAATTCTCTTGACTTGTCATTTTATTTTCAGGCAAAATAATTTCTCTGAAAGGGGCTGGCACCACAGCCCTGTGGTTGAGGGCCAGATCCATGTGGCTGCCTGTGGCGAGTCCTGGCCCTGGCAGCTTCAAGAACACCCCTGTGTTTGCCTGACATCGCAACAGGATGGAAGGGTGGAGGAGAAAGGGTTGTGCATGACCATACCCTGTCTGGGGGGCACTTTCCCCCTCCTTCCTCTTTTTCTGTCACTCTGGTGAAGGCACATAGCTCAGGCAATGGAACAACAACAACAAAAGACAAAGAATAATTTTTTGAAAATAGAACTAATATTTTCTTAGTGTATCAAAGTCAAGATGATTTTTTCCTTCCTAGCAAGTAAATCAGACGGTTCCTGTGGACATATTTTGATAATACTCAAAAGCCATATAACGTAGACAAAGAACACAAATCTTTCTGTCAAATGAATTCAAAATACGTTCTTTAAATGCAAGACAAACTGAATTATTTTTAATGGCTTAATGTTTAGGGAATAAAGACCAGTCATGTAAGAAACTGACCTAAAACTTAACATTTCAAGGCTATGATTTTTGAAATGTTGAGATATTAAGAGTAATTTAATATACTGTACACTGGGGGAAATGGGGAATATTTAAAGGAGTGGCTTCCCAAATTTTAAGTTGAAGACCCATTTACCTTCTTGTTTCCCTGAAATTACTTCTGCATGAGAGTCAGAAAACAGAAAGTCAAAGTGCACAGGAATATCAGTCAGGAGGTCTTCCAGAATGGCTTTCTGCTGGCTGTAAGGGAATTCAAAAATTTACATATCCAAATATTATAGCCTGAACTTTTTTGTTTTAAAAAGAAAAAAACAATATATATATATATACATATATATATATATATATGACATTTTCTAAATGATGTTAATTTTAAAACCAGAACAGACTGATTTTGAAAAGACTGAGAAAGATACTTTAAAATGAACAAGTTATGTAAATGATGTGATTCCTAAATGTAAAACTGCAACTGATAAAATCCTTCAATTAATAAAAGAGGTTTTTTTTTTGTTTGTTTGTTTGTTTGTTTGTTTGTTTTTTAGGTTTTGGCTATAGGGCGCATACACTCGCCAGAAAGACAGAGATACAGAAAGTGAGAAATCACCCCCGGGGGGATGGCTACGCTGCAATCCCTTCTCCTCCATTCTCCTCTCGGGATCTTGGGCACACATGTACACGCACCTGGTGTGAGCTTAAGCCACCTAGTCTGGGACTCAAACCATGGGTCGACTACATGAGAGTCCAGTGAAGTAGCCATTATGCCATCTGCTCGTCCCAATAAAAGAGTTTTTAAAATGACAACTTTACAGTTTGCAGTCATAAACGAGTAAATTAAAAAATATTTGGTGAGGGCCCAGCAGGTGGTCAAGTGATCAAGTCCTGGATCCCACAAGGCCGACTCCACAGGGCCCGAAAATCATGTCAGGTGTGTGCTTGCGTGCCCACAATGCCAAGAAGAGAATGGAGAAGGGATTACAGCATGGCTAGCTCCCTTAGAGAGTGATTTCTCATTTTCCTTCTCTCTCCCTCCAGCGAGTTGTTCATGGGCCCTATGGTAAAAATCTTTTTAAAAGGGCATTTAGTGGGTTCTGGCTAAGGAAATAGTTCTGGTCCTATCCCAGATTTGAAGAAAGAATTTTAATGTTTTACTCTTGATGAAGATGGTGGTGGTGGTGGTGATGATGATAATGGAGGAGGTAGAGGAGGAGAAGGGAAGGAAGAGAGGGATACCCCCCAACTACAGCCCACCTTCACCCTCATCCTCGCCCTTGGCCTCACCCTCACCCTCAGGATCACCTTTCGGGGAGGATTCTCATTCCAGCTGTGCAGAGAATGTAGAGAGGGGTCTCTTTGTGTTTTGCCCGTGGCACGTGCTCTGCGGCAAAGTTCAGAAGCGGAGAAATGTAATCACTGACTTTCTCTGGAGAGGTAGCAAATTCTGAAATGCCTAGAGAAACACGATAAGTCGATGAACAAGTAGACATTTTAGTTCACATGTTACATTTCTTCCACGTGGCTAATCTGAGAAAATTCAAGCTATACTCTATACTCTCCTAGCTTCTCCAGCCCCTCTCGCAACTACTTCCAGTCGCTCTTCCTTTAATGCTGGTGGCACTAAGTGTTCAGTTCTATGTGGTTGTCTTCCTAGTCATCAAACACAGACCAGGCCGAACACTATGTGCCACGCATGAGAGCTCATCTCTGCCTTTGAGAAACAAGTTCCCCTCTTCCTCAGGAACGCTCACTCCCTCCCATGGCTTCCACAGCCATTGACAGGCCATGACCCTGTATCTGAGTGCTGGCCGCCCAGACCTCTCCACCTCCAGATCAGTATAGGGCAACTGTCCACTGGACACTGCCACCGCATGTCCTCACCGCACCCCAAAGGCAATGTGTCCAGATACGAACTCAATTTCTACAGCTGCTCTTATCTACCACTGACCCAGGGCATCTAGCAGCCCAGTCAGTTTCTTGGATAAAACCCCTCTGTCACCCCAACACACATTCTGGCTTTCATAGACTGCTGTTCCTTGGGTGAGAAGGGATTACAGCATGGCTAGCTCCCTTAGAGAGTGATTTCTCATTTTCCTTCTCTCTCCCTCCAGCGAGTTGTTCATGGGCCCTATGGTAAAAATCTTTTTAAAAGGGCATTTAGTGGGTTCTGGCTAAGGAAATAGTTCTGGTCCTATCCCAGATTTGAAGAAAGAATTTTAATGTTTTACTCTTGATGAAGATGGTGGTGGTGGTGGTGATGATGATAATGGAGGAGGTAGAGGAGGAGAAGGGAAGGAAGAGAGGGATACCCCCCAACTACAGCCCACCTTCACCCTCATCCTCGCCCTTGGCCTCACCCTCACCCTCAGGATCACCTTTCGGGGAGGATTCTCATTCCAGCTGTGCAGAGAATGTAGAGAGGGGTCTCTTTGTGTTTTGCCCGTGGCACGTGCTCTGCGGCAAAGTTCAGAAGCGGAGAAATGTAATCACTGACTTTCTCTGGAGAGGTAGCAAATTCTGAAATGCCTAGAGAAACACGATAAGTCGATGAACAAGTAGACATTTTAGTTCACATGTTACATTTCTTCCACGTGGCTAATCTGAGAAAATTCAAGCTATACTCTATACTCTCCTAGCTTCTCCAGCCCCTCTCGCAACTACTTCCAGTCGCTCTTCCTTTAATGCTGGTGGCACTAAGTGTTCAGTTCTATGTGGTTGTCTTCCTAGTCATCAAACACAGACCAGGCCGAACACTATGTGCCACGCATGAGAGCTCATCTCTGCCTTTGAGAAACAAGTTCCCCTCTTCCTCAGGAACGCTCACTCCCTCCCATGGCTTCCACAGCCATTGACAGGCCATGACCCTGTATCTGAGTGCTGGCCGCCCAGACCTCTCCACCTCCAGATCAGTATAGGGCAACTGTCCACTGGACACTGCCACCGCATGTCCTCACCGCACCCCAAAGGCAATGTGTCCAGATACGAACTCAATTTCTACAGCTGCTCTTATCTACCACTGACCCAGGGCATCTAGCAGCCCAGTCAGTTTCTTGGATAAAACCCCTCTGTCACCCCAACACACATTCTGGCTTTCATAGACTGCTGTTCCTTGGGTGATCTCATATTACGTTCCTATTAAGGAAATTTCTATACCTTAACACAGAGAAGTACTGCTATGTAGAGGTATTTTGATCCTCATTTCAAATACTTTGCATAGAGTAAGCCATGGAAGCCCGATTTTAATGAGATTCTGGTTTCTATCCTGGAATGACACTGTAGCTGTTCCTTTGTCCTAGATGGACAATCAAGGCATGAACGTTTTCATCTTATTCCATGAGACCAGTGTAATCATGGATTGGAACCTGGCATGTGAAGCTAAATTACATGCAGTGTGCTTTCTAGAGGTTTATTTCTTAATCTTATGGTGATTTTAAAATTCCTGACCAATATTATTTTAATCCTGAAAATGTTTCCAGACTAGGGACACATAAAAAGGGGTAGGAAACAGAAAATTAAAAATTGAGTCATTCGCTGAGATGTCAAGAAAAATTAGTCTTCATTCATAAAAATGTATTCTGGTATCAAAATAATCGGTGGGCACAGATGCTGGCATCCAGCTGTTCAAATACCAAAGAACAGCCATTGGTTAAGAGCAGCTAAAAAATAAAGCAGGGTATGAATTATTCAAGGAAGAATGAGTAGCACTCAAAAGGTTCCCATGCTATGTAGTCAGGAACTATTTTATTTGGACAGGTATTTTCTTAGGTTAAATTGAGTATCTTTTTATTTATACAGGTTGAGCATCCCTAGTAGGAAAATCCAAAATTCTAAATGCTACAAATTGGAAACTTCTGAGTGCCAACATGGCATCGCAAATGGAAATTTCCACACCTGACCTCATGTGCTTAATCACAGTTAAAACACTGCAATAAAAGTAACTGTATGAAGTTACCGCCAGGCTTTGTGTTTAAGATATATGTGAAACATAAGTGAATTCTTTGTTTAGACTTGGGTCCTATTCCCAAGATAATTCATTAGGTATAGGCAAACATTCCAAAATCCAAAAAAATTTGAAATCCAAACCCCAAAACACTTTTGAGCCCAAGCATTTTGGATAAGGGAGACTCAACCTGTATTTCTGAAAGGCGATATAAGAAGCTCTGACTACTATTTGCTACCGTTTCCTAATTTTATTTATTTACGCATTTTTTGAGATTTTTGCTATCGGGCACCTGTGCTTGCTGGAGAGACAGAGAGAGACCAAGAGAGATCAAGTGAGAAATCACCCCCAGGAGGGATGGTCATGCCACACCCCTTCACCTCCATTCTCCTCTCAGGATTTTCGGCACATACATACGTGCCTGGCTTGAGTTTCAAGCCACTGGATCTGGACTTGAACCACAGTCAGCCATGTGGGAGTCCAGCACCTTAACCACTTTGCCATCTGCTGGCCCCACCTTTCCTAATACTTTAAAGATAAATTCCTTGGATTGTTTGGATTTGATATGGTACTCAGAAGAAATAAAAGTGCTGTCCGTTGAGTAGGATCTATGACTTACTGTTTGAAATCAGTGTCTATCAAGACCAAAAGCTTGTTTCAAGGTATTCCTGATAGCTTCCATCTCAGCCCACAGCTTTTTTTTTTTTTTTTTTTTTTTAAAAAAAACTTGTCAAAGTATACATGAGTTTCCTGGAAAGAGAGACAACATCTCCCATGGAGGACAGCCACACCACAAACCCTTTTCCACCATTTCTGTCTTCCAGATTTTGGGCATGCACACACGAATCTGGCATGCGTCTCAAGCCACCAGGTTTTGGACTCCAAATGTGTAGTCAGTCATGTGGGACTCCGCCTCTTTAACCACCATGTTACCAGCTGGTCTAGCTTCCATTTTTAACACTCTAGACAGGCTGATGCCCGTGGAAAAGGTGATTAAACAGAAAAAGACTGAGAATCATGGATTGAAGTCATCTATTGGGGAAGCCAAATCTCAATCTTTACATATGACACTGGCTTAGAAATTGTAATCTCTAGGACCAGCAAATAGCATAATGGCTATGTTGCTGGACTCCCACGTAGTGGGCTGAGGTTTGAGTCCTGGACCTGGTGGCTTAAAATTCATGCTGGGCACATGTGCATGCAGCATGCCCTAAATCCTGAGAGGAGAATGGAGAAGAAGGGATTGTGGCATAGCCATTCACCCTGAGGGGTGATTTCTTGCTTTCTGTCTCTGTAGCAAGCACACGCACCCTATGGCAAAATTCTCTCTAGAAAAAAAAAAAGAAAAGAAATTGTAATCTCTTTAAAAACTATACACATAACTATAGCTGCTCTTTTAAGTTTTATGGTCACCCTTATTAAGTAATCTAAATGATCTGAAATACATTTAGGCAGCATGTTCTGAAAGTGACAACTACATCAATATACTACAGATTTTCATGAGTTATCTGAAGTAACAAGGGGACTTCAAAATGTTCGTGGAAAAAATGAAATTAAAGTACAAATGTTTTTGGTGCTAAAAATGTGAAATCTATTGTTTTTTCATAGTATGCATTTTCCACGAACTCTTTGCAGACCCCTTACATGTTGTCATTAAGGACAGAGACCAATGACTAAATAGAGAAAAAAACCCTCCGCAATTAACGTGTACCAAACATATGAGTAGCCATCATGAGTAAGGCACTATCATAAATGCTATAGGAGACAAAAAGACAGTTTTTGGATGTTTTATCAAGGTGTTAGTCACAGGCAAAACAGACAGCAAAAGGGAAAAGAAAGTGAAACAGGGAGACCCCGTTGGTCCCGGGGTGCTCTCTGAAGTGCAGTGATGACAGTGTGGAGAGAAAGGTAAAGGCGGAGAAAGGAGGGACAGCTCTGATGACAGCCAGAGAGCTCTCCTCTACACATACCAGGCTTGATTTTCATGACCACTGGCTTTCGGTTTTTATCCCTCATTTGTCTGATATCCAACAGGTCATGAGGATTGCCATTATGCCTCGGCCAGCAATAGACAAATACTCGAGACCCGCTGCTGCCGCAGTCCACCACGATGCCGTAGTTCACACTGGGGTTGTTGGTGTCGGTCGCTTCGACGTCGGTGACTCGTGCCAAGTACCTTGTTTGGAAAAATACACATGCGTTTACTTAGAGGATGTCATCCTAAACCTAACAGAGAAAATGTCATAAACCGTAAGCAAGTATCAAGTCAATGATTTCTCAGCTGTGTAGTAACAATGCTACAAATTTTTACAACTGCCAAAAAAGGAAAACAAAACAAGGGATGGTGATAAAGGTCATTAAATCAGATAGATACACATTCATCATTCCTTTGGAAAAAGTCAAACATGTTCCAAAAAGCAACTGTAACTCAAAGTTAGCTTCACACATATTACAGGAGAGGCTAAGGTTGAAATAATTACGCTAGGGCCTCCAATGATACTAATTTGGTAGCCTGCAGTTACCCAGTTTCAGACAGTTTAATTTTTCAGGCTCTGCTATATTCAGCACAGAATCTGCTTCCTATAGTTACATGCTCCTTCAGTTCCACCCTGATTCCAAATGTCTTTAAGCCGTGAAGTGAAGGTGTCATGATTTGAATGTTCGTGTCTACCCAAATTCCTATCGTGAAAACCTAGTCATCTATGTGATGCTACAGGAAGTCTCTGGAAGGTGATTAGACCATAAGGGCAGAGACCTCAGAGATCCCAAAAATATCTCTAGTTCCCTTTTCCACCATGTGAGGACACAGCAAGAAAGCCCCCTCTAAGAATCAGCAAACAGGCCCTCTCCAGACATAGAATCTGCCAGCACCTTGATCACCTCAGTCCCCAGAACTGAGGGAAATAAACTTCTGTAGTTTAGAAGCCTCCTGTTCTATGGTGTTATTTCTAGTAGACTGAATCAAATAAGACAGAAAGTACGGCATCGATCTAGAAAACGAGAATTTTCACTCTCTTACCTTTGAAATTTCTTGTCTCTGGAAAGCCGCCCATACTTATTTCGGATGATGACAACAGAGAAGTATAAAAGTGACACAGCAGCAGCCAGAACGCTGATGACAATAATCTGGCGTAAATTGGTATTCAGAATTCGAGGACACCCTACCGGAGAGATGCTAAAATGCCAAGAGGCAGGAAAAAGACAGGAGATGCCAATCCTGAAATTTACAAACAAAACAAAAACAGATTTTAAAGTAATCTGCTTCAAAACAGCCTCCTCATCACCAAACGGATCCTACACTAAGAAATTCAGCTGGAGCTACCCCTTTCCC